TAATATTGAATCTGGCACCGTATTTGAGTAGGCCTAGGCCTACAGTTAGGCTTATATAGATTATGACGTGTGTTATAGCAATTGTATGCTCCCTATTACTTATTAGTAGACCTACTGATTCTGAAGTACGTTTAGAAATGATCGGAACAAGTTACTTCGGACACAGTTAACTTACAATTTTAAAATTTAAAATTAAAGGGTTTTTTTTAATGAGAAAAAAAAATCCCTGCCTATTAACAGACAGTGAACGTGAGTGACTTTTTAGACAAGTAGAAATAGGTCTCCCAGTCAAACAAATTGCAAAAGTTTGTTTTATTGCTGAAATATGTTCTTTTGCTTGTAACAATTAGTATATCCAAAATCTACCTTGATCGGCCTATACTAAATTCCCTAATTTGCATAAATTCAAAATGGCCGCATTTGGAAACTTTGCAGCTAATTTTCGTCTGATCGTTTTAAATATAAAGCTATTCAATATATAATTGGGTAGACACAGCCTAAACAGTACGTCATATCATGTGTATTGAATATCGTAAAATTAGTTTTTATAATATACCTGCTTGCTATATAATCTATGCCTTTATTTATTTATTTTATTTCCTCTATTTAATTGAATATCAACGAAATGTTTGTAAGAAGTCAACATTATAACAATACATAGAATTTTAAAAATCTCCTAAAATCACATTATTTTGCAAGTTAACGCCCCTCAATCGACCACCGAGCCCCACCTTCGCACACTCAGTGCTACAACCAGCGTGACCACTGCTTGGGTATTTACCCAAGATCTTGGGTATTTTGACTTGGTCTTGGGTTCTTGGGTATTCCGTTCAAATCTTTGGGTATTTTATTTTTACTAAGAAAATTAAATATTTTTGTCATAGAGGAATTAAGAAGTAAGTATATTTCAGTCAATTCAAGTAAGCAAAACTCAACGAAGTGCACATAATATTGTTAATTGACTGTTAATTGCTATAAACATGGGTTCAGAATTGTTTATTTGTGATTTGTGTTGCCATTGATCTTACCTAATTAATGCATTACATAATAAAACTTGATCACTGATCTACGGATAACACTGGCCGACTGAGGGCGTATTTTTCTATCTGTATTATCACCTCATGAATATTAATTTTAATAATTAACACAAACAATTACAATAAAAAAATTTGTTTTTAAATTGAACTAAAAGGGAAACTATACATGCGAAAAACACGTATTTTTCAAATTTTAATGCATTTTCAGGAAGCTTGGGTAATTTTGGGCAATTTTTGCTGAATCTTGGGTAATTTCGACCCAGACCAGCGTGACCACCACTGCTTGGGTATTTACCCAAGATCTTGGGTATTTTGACTTGGTCTTGGGTTCTTGGGTATTCCGTTCAAATCCTTGGGTATTTAATTTTTACTAAGAAAATTAAATATTTTATTCATAGAGGAAGAATTAAGAAGTAACAAAGTATATTTCAGTCCATTCAAGTAAGCAAAACTCAACGAAGTGCACATAACATTGTTAATTGACTGTTAATTGCTATAAACATGGGTTCAGAATTGTTTATTTGTGATTTGCGTTGCCGTTGTTCTTACCTAATTAATGCATAATAAAACTTGATCACTGATCTACTGATAACACTGGCCGACTAAGGGCGCATTTTTCTATCCGTATTATCACCTCATGAATATTAATTTCTGAAAATTAACACAAACAATCACAATAAAAAATGGTTTATAAATTGAACTAAAAGGGGAACTATACCGGTACATGCAAAAAACACGTATTTTTCAAATTTTAATGCATTTTCAGCAAGCTTGGGTAATTTTGGGCAATTTTTGCTGAATCTTGGGTAATTTCGACCCAGTCATTGGGTATATCAAAAATTGTGAGTGGTCACGCTGGCTACAACATCAACTCATGATCAAACCATTCACAAGCATTCTGTGTCTATGCCCTTGGGGGTTAGACGTCATGTTATCGCCTAGCAGTTATCCCCCTGTAAGATCGATTAAATCCGGTATAAGGGAATGATGCGATTAGAAATATTATTTCGAGGGAACGAAATATTAGTTCGAGGGAACGAAATATTATTTCGTTCCCTCGAATTGAATATTTTTTCTAACCATGTCCCTTTAGGGGCTCCGTAGTTTTATAAATTTGTTTAGCAAAACATTCTTGATTACACCGAACTTGTTTACTGTCACGCACTATGAAACTTTGGGCGATTTGACATCATCACAGCCGAAGCAGATGTCTGGTGATAAATTAATTAAATGGCTAGGCCCAGACTACAACAATCTTGTTCAAAATAGGTTCAATACAAGCTCTATAAACTGAACTGGACGACAAACTGAACATTGGAGCCGGTGTCACGAGAATTCAGGTACCATCGAGAAATTAAGTACCAGACCTAAATTCTCGCTTAAGCGAAAACTTTGGGCTTGTCGATAAATTAAGTACTACTCTCATTTTATGGCACTTATAGTACAATGCATAAATATTTCATTTGTTTTAAATTTACGACCGATCGTAATTAATCAGGTGAACTGGTATTTGGTACGAAAACGGTGAAAATAAGCAGAAAATATACGATTTTGAATGTTTTTTATTCTTGTTAATACTTCAAATCTCATCCGCAAAGACTACGACGCTGACCTAATTTTCTTCACTGCTACAAAGCAGCGCGAAGATTGTCCTTGTTACCGCATGTTTGGCAGCCAGGCTTTGCACCGTGACGTATGGATGCTCTTCATTTTCAGCCAATCAGAGTAGATACAACATGCCCAGAGTGGGAAAACAAAATATGAAAAAGATGGGTAATACACAGTTACTGTTAGCTGAATGACTTTGATAACGAATAGCGCGCGTAAACATCAGTCATCAAATTGTTTGGTAAGACGGTATACCCCACTCCACAATTTTAAAAACATGTTTAGACCAATTTTTCATTGCATTTTATTTCTTTTTAGACGTTGTGTGTGTTTTTTGTTCTTTGTGCAAATTTAAATCGTTTTCATGGGACCCACTTTTTATGGCTTATCCTATTAATTAATCAGGGTCGTTTGTTGCATTTTTGCCTTTCTTGTCCTGTTGTTTTAATTACATGATTAATGAATAAATTCAATTCAAACTAATCAGAATTGATTGAAAATTGGACTGGAGAATATTGCCAAAATTATTAGCCAATGTTCCAAAAGATAATGGTTCCTACGATTTCTCAAAATAATTTAGGCATGTTAAAGTGTTTTATGCTCTGCTTATGCACCTAATAACAGAATTAATTACAGAATTCACCCAAAATTGTGGTATTTCATTTTTATTAATTTTATTCAATGTCCAGGTAGCTCTATTAATAATGATACAATGAGAATACAATAATTTGCACGTATATAAGATATATAAAAAATGAAATAGAACAAATACAATAATAATGTAATCAAATCGTAACATTCATGCATTTAGACTGCTTAATACAGTCATGGGGGTATGATAGAGTATATCAACAAAGTGCCAAGGTAAATCATCACTCAATACTGTATATGTTCTTCTTACAGGGAGATAATAATACTAGGTAAAGTGGGTTGACACACTTGAGTTGTAAATTCACAGAATTGGAATTCAATAAAATAAATTAATAAAGCCTTATAAGTCTACTTTAAAATCACTTTAGCACTTGAAGATAAAAATGTATATTTAATTCTCTGAACTATATTTTATGAAACGTTTAAAAATAATATATTCACATAATGCTATATGCAATTCAATTTTCAACACACTAATGAGTTACCAACATTGCCTCCTATGGAACGCCAAAAGGACAAACCACAAGTGGCGCAGTGTAAAACTAAAGTGGCACATTGCAAATCCAAATGCGTGTGCCGCTACTTGACTCTTGCACTGCGCCACTTGACTTTTGCACTGTGCCACTTGACTTTTGCACTGCACTTGACTTTTGCACTGCACTTGACTTTTGCCCTGCGCCACTTGTGGTTGTCCTTTTGGCGATATCACGTCAAAAGGACAAACATAAATCACAGTGCAAAACTAAAGTGGCGCAGTGCAAAACTAAAGTGGCG